ACTGTGGTATCTTATTCCAAAGGATTAGTAAAGGCAATTAAACATTCAGAAAACAGATCAATTTTTTTCTTTCTCTCATGAAGTAATATATGCAAAATGAACAAAAATAAGCAGAGTTGATATGTCAATACATTTTTTTTAAATAACTGAAAATCATGCTTGAGTTATGGATTAAATCAAACCTTAAAATAGAGTGCCATTACTGGAAAGCAAGGTGCCAATATCTCAGTAACTGCTACAGATATAAACTGAGATACAGAAGCTAGATGTTAACAGAGTTTAAGACTCTCCAATAGGTTTCTAAGTAATGTCCTCCATAAACGAGCCTAATTTCATTTTAGTCTGACCCAGTCATAAATAACATCCACTGGATATTATGTGGAATTACCAGAATTAGCAGTTTTATTTTGGCTTTCTCCCCCTTTTCCATTCCTCTACCACGTAACAGACTGCCCTTTACTTCAGATCACAGCAGAGAAAGAGAAACAGGACAGATGCCTCACAGGTGATGAGGTCCTATCTGCTTCTGAGCTGTATCACAGGGTGCGCACGGCATGCATTGAAAACAGATCGGAGCCAGACAGCAGATTCCTGCTTCTCCTGAGGACGCGGAGACACAAACGCTCACTGACTTTTTTCTCGCACACATACATGTTCCAGCCTTCAAAGCCCAACAGCAGCTACCTGCTACTTTACAGTCCTGAAGTCAGGTGATACTCTCTCCACCACCACCCCTTCAGCAAGTTTCCAAGCAGGCAATTTCTGATCACAGATTCATATCCTTTCATACAGTCTTTGCACCTGTACTTCTAAGCCAGTGGTTATAATAAGGATGCTTTTTACCCTGGATGGCCAGAGTAAAACTTCAGAAATAAATAACGTAACCATTGCTCCATACAAATGCCTCATGGAGGAGCAGCAGAAAGATTTGTTGCTAATGTCATCCTCTCTCTCACTGGGTATGTTACTCCACAGTTTATGGTGGGTCTCGGTGCACTGCTTTGATTATAAACTTATCTAGAAGAGACATGTCTACAACTGCACAAGAGTCCTAGTTTATTTTTGAAAAAATGTAATTTATCAGAAGCAATTGCACGTTACTTCATATATATATGTTTGTGCATGCATGTGTATATATATACGTGTGTATAAGTACACACAGCAGGAAGACTGAAACTACAGAAGCAATTTACACTCACTAGCTTTTTTTTTCTGCTAAATATATCATACAGACTGTTCTACATTCCCCGATTCTTCCAGCTGTTACTAACAGATACTGATACTTCAGATTAATTAATAAAAGTATTAGTTCACTTAAAGTATTTTTTCACCAAGAACAACAAATTGTCAGCTCTCTAGGAAAACATGTATGGATCAAGTTTCCTATTTCAAAGTGCATTAACTTATTAATTTAAAAAGTATTTGAAGACCATTTGTCTGGTGTCATTTTATTTACTTTCTACGCTGCAGAAACGGTGGCTTTTAGGATGTACAAAATGGGATGTCTAAACATGAGGGAATGTCAAACTGCTGCAGCTGTCCTCTGCTACTTCTTTACCCAGCACATGAATTTCTGAACACTGTGGCACTATATCAATACGTCCTGTGCAGGACACACACGTTTAATCCTTCTGGGATGTATAAGGCCGAAGCTCAACACAGGAAGAAAAGGATGGAGGTTGGGAGAAAGGAGGGTGCATAATCGGAGGAAAGAAAGAGACAAATTAGAAAATGTCTGGTAATCTACAACATGCCAAGTACAAGAAAATTCGCACGGGCGCAAGGCTTGAACTGTTAGTTAATACGAAGCCTAATTATTTTTGCAGTTTGGTATTTTTATTAAACGTGCATTGAAATATGAAACTTTTAGCTAATAGAACACATGTGTAGGTATAGAGAGTTCTTTTTGGCATGATTTCATTAGTTCCACGAACAACGATGCCAGAAAAACAAGATCTAAAGTCAGTGCAACTACCAGGACAGAATTCAAAAGGGGGGAATAAAAAAAAAAAAAAAAAAAAGCTGGCAACAGAGAAGCAGAACATATCCATCAGCTTGGAAGTTTCAGTGATAAAATTTCACAGTAGTTTTATGCCACTTTTTGTTTTAGTTCATATGAAGTTAACAGTTCTGTGCATTGCAGCCCCAGTTTCCTGTACAACCTTTTCCTTGCGGTTCAAAGTGAAAGCCTCGATCAGGAAGCAGTACTAAACCATTTGAATCTACAGAATACTTAATGTCTGTTCAGTAATAGGTGAGAAACAGAAGCATAAGATGAATTCTCAAATGGAATATCTAGTAGCCAAGATAGGAACTACTACCATGAATAAGTATATACTGGTCACTAAGAACATTCAATAATTGAATGAAATCTTGGAAGTGACTAATCATTCACTTTCCTTATTATGAATGTCCTTCAGCGTCTCTCGGCAATGTGCACGAAAGTTCATAAACAAGGAAGAAAAGTCACTCTCCTCAGAAGTAACAGACAGGTGGGAAAACTACAAAAGTCTTTTTGATTAGAGGTCACGTACAGATGATTGCAAACTACTGGATTGTTATGACTTACATTACCACTGAAGCATATCATATGACAGATTTTTGTGCTCTTATCCCACTATAAGTGCCAAGGAAAATGTATTAGTTTCAACTTCCATTCTTAAACCACAAGCAGAGTTTAGTTTAACTCATTTTCTTTTGCAATTTTTATGAGCTAAAAGCTCAAAAAATGGTCACTTAATACAGATCAGCTGATGAGGAGAAACCAGCTCAGCCACAGACCTCCTTCCTACCCCCTCACACACACTCCCTGCAGTTGCAAAGAATCATGTGAATGCTACTCATCCACTTCAGCGCAAAACAGGCCCGCACAGTCTTTAAACTGCTGATGAAGGTTTCAGTGTCTAATTAAGAATGGAGATAATATCCCCTAAATATTTGCTTGCTTGCTCGTATTTTTCTTGGTCTACTGGAAAATAGTTAAGCAGCAAATACTTTTGGAAGAGCTCAGCAGCTGCTGGGAATTGGCCCAGATGCCAGCTGAAGTGTGACAACGCCCGTCTGCTGATTCACATGAGACCGTAGCTGCTCTTTTGCACTAAAATGACGTGCTTTAAGAAAAAAATTAATGTTTTGCCATTTGTTCTCAAAGAAAATTTAAAAGGAGGCTCCAGAGTCCAGTTAGTTAAAACACAAAAAAAACTGGATGAGACACTTAAGATGGATTTCCCACACACGCATGTACAGCCACAACCACTTAGACAGAACGAAGATTATCCCAAGGAATATATGATATGCCACGTAATAGTAGAGATGCCTCTACATCAATCAGCTACTGATGTTGATTTCAATAAAATGGATTAAATCACGCTTTTCTTCCCTTCAATCGCATGTGCTCTCACACACTTTTCAATTAACATATATCATGTAACTATACATATGCAAATACACGTGTATACTCACGTTTACCTATAAATACTTCTAGAACCTATTTTCTAGCATAGCCTTATTCTGCACATACACATGCAAATCATCAGAATATCAGCAAAACTCCATTTACAGGCATTTTGTGTTTGGAAGTTTTTTTTTTCCATAGCTATTTTAGCATGCGAAACATTTGAATGCTGTCGTTTTATGAAAGGACTCACCGCTCCCTGCCTAGCACGGGTGTTGTCAGGAAAATGTGATCATCCAAGTATTTCCATTTAAAACAGCATCAATTTGCAACAATAATATTTTAAATTACATTCTTTGGTCTATTTGACAAAGTAGAGAGATGCAATTTGTGGCACAGTTAGTGTTCTGTCATAGTCATTATGAAACAGTATTTCAAGGGGAAAAATAGTAGTTTTAAGCTGTAATTAAAAAAACTGCAAGTGAATCCACACAATTTCACAGAGAAATAACACCACTCAATATTAAACTTCTAATAAATGTCATTTGGGCAGCAATATCTTACACAGAAAAAAAAAAAAGAACAGTAGGCTCTAAAACAAAGTTACTGAGACATCTCCAGAAAATCACCTTTCCAAGTCTGACTTATGCAAGAAGTAATCAGGATTAAAGTCTCAATAATGAACTTCTTTTTTTTTTTTTATAGTTTTTTGTTTCTTAAATATAAGCTAGACTGCTTCCCCACACTAGATACTACATGTAGTCAAAAGTTCAGAGTACTAATAGATTCTCAAGACTTTCAAGGTCAAGTGGACGATCTGTGTCTTGCCAATTCAGGGCAGTATTGAAGCCCTAGCCATATGTCTCACAGCTTATTAACCTTCAATGCGAACAAAAAAGAAAAAACACATCAACTTTATTGAAATGGCCTTGCTAGAAAGCTTCTCACAGAAAGATTCTTGGCTGTAGATATTTTAATACAGCTTAATATTTAGTAAAGGATGTCTGAAATCAGATGTTAGCAATTTTGCTGACACCTGACATGGAAATTCTGCTAATTTAAACATTTATTGACTCATCACTCCAAATAAAAACTTGCTTTTTCTTACCTTATGCCTGCATAAGCACCTAATCAAGCCATCTTACAAAAAGAACAAAAGTAGATGTGAAAGATCTGTTCCTCCCCAAACAGCCATATAATGAAAAAATTGCTGCTTAAACCACAGCAATAAATGCTCTTATGTTTGCATAGACTGCAATCCACATCTGGCCAGTGACAGCTGATAACAGAGAAAGGAACATACTGCACACAAAATAATCAATCCAGTTAGTAAACCTAAGACTGAAGAGGCCAAAAACAAGAAGGTATAAAACACAGTGATAAAGCATATCACGGGGGAATGAAATAAGTTTGGTCAAGTATTTTGAGCCCACAGACAAAATACTTGGCTTAAGTTTTATCGTTCTGCATTTGTTTATATGAACAGAAAGACCAACACAGATTTTGCTCATTAAAACAACCACTAATAATGTGAAGTCATTGCAATTGCAAAATGAATTACAAAGACTAAACTTAAATGCTACTTAAAACTCAGTTCAGTTCCTACCTGCCCATCTTGACCAACATGAACCTGATGTATCTGCAGATTTCCCTGCAAAAGAAAAACAGTGACAATAAACACAACTTGGAAATTCAAAAAGTTGCTCTTTAAAAGAGCTGTCCTGAAAACAACCTGTATCTCATCTCATTATTAAACAACTTACTTCAATATTAAGGGAATCTATTACTTTAGGAAATTCTTCTGAGGGTTTCTGGCAATTCAGCTACACTACAATGCTGTGCACTTTAACCACAGAGGATAAAATAGACTAAAAACCAATGACGTTTTTCAGCACCAGCAGGTTTTACTTTTTGAAAGGTACTGTATAACGTACAGCGTTTTTGTGCAAAGCCTGTGTATGGTTTTGAGGTAAGGGTTTTTTTGTTTTTTGTTTTTGTTTTTTAAATTTTCCCTCATTGATATGAAACTGCAAGCATAAGTCAAACCCTTACTAAACTAGAATTAGCAGTACAATCTTTTTTACATGCATGGAATGCTGTTTACTACTTTACTGTTACAAAGTTACCATTTGCGCTAACAAAAATTGAACACCAAATGTGGACATCATTCCATTACAGGAATTACATCTATTACAAAACATTCTCAATAATGCAGATTATTTTAAAGAAATTACAGCTACAAATTCTGAAAAGGAAAGCAGTATCATTACAAAAATAGGTTTTTATGCGTATGCATTCGTATGTTTAAAAGTACATTTAGATTAAGAAAAAATAGTTTCCTCAGATAGTAAGACCTGCAGTGAAATTTCACTTTTCTTTGAAGAAAAATACCAATTCTTTGATTTTCATATTTTCTACGTTTTCTCTTACTGGCAACAGTTCCTCTTTTTTGAGGCTGTGTACGTTGGACCAAATTTAAAACCAGATGTTTTCATCTGTCATGGACAAATGTAGTCCTTAAAATTCTTACACGCAGGATTCCTGACAAAGCCAACGGACACTGGGGCATTTGAACCTCAGGACACATTACTACGAGTATCTCCTGAACCAGAACTTTTTCAGTGGCTCTTTAAAACCATGGTGAATACCCAAGAACTGCTAACAGTTTCACTGCAGCACACTACAGCTACCTTTAGACCCACAGCATTTTGATCTTTCCAGATTTTCTTTAAAGATAATATTTATATAATATTTATTCTGCAAAAGCTCCCTGTGTTAACAGTATTCTTCCACACCAGAAGTGCTTTTATAAGATTTCACTTATGGTACATGGGAAATGGATTAAACTAACCCACAAGTAGATTCGCTTAACATTTAGAAAAAAACTCTACAGATATATCATATAGAATAAACATTGCAGTTAGTATCTATGCTTAACCTTATTTTGCTATTGCTTCTCCATGTAAACAAACTCTAAGAGCGCAAGAAAGAATCTGACAACAACCTTTGCAGTTAAGAGTCTCTACTATACACGTTCTAATATACGGCGCGACCAACAGTAACACTCTCTCTGGTAAACTCGGCTAGCTCTAATGGTCGTTTGGCCTGAGCGAAAAAGGTGCTGTTCAGCAGTGCCCACAATTAAGGCACCAGCTATTCTGAACACATTCAGTACATAAACCTAACTAAAATAATCTCATTTCTGACTAGCAGTGCAAGCACCTAAACTGGGCTTTCTAGAGTACTCTGAAAGTTCTAAACTCTGTCTCACATGAAGACCACTAAAAAGCACATCAGCTGTATATCTCAGTCACTGAAACACACATACTTGTTAGCTGGCCAATAAAAAACAGAGACAGAAGTAGCATACTGCATTTTTTGCCACCAGGCACATTTCACCCTGGCTCTACCACATGTATTCATCTCTACTCTCCCGGATCTCTTTAGCAGGTTGCAGCAGTTCTCAGAAGGACGGATGGAGAATCCGTGGCCCTATGCTCCACGGGTGCACCAACTTCAGGCTCACCTCACTGTCCTGCGTGATTTGGACTTGCTCGCCTTGAGGAACCTGGGCTATGTGGAGGTGACCCTGTGGGATCCACAACAAAAGAAAACACCAAGAAGCATCAGAAGAAAATCAAAACTAGAGGAAGAAACTATTATCTTGGATTCAACAGAGCTTAATCTATTTGCAACTGTAGATGGAAGGAAAATCGTTATTCAGTGAAAACCGTCCCCATCTTTTTACACAAAGCAGAAGAGCAGTGAGTTTTGAAGAGAAAATGTTTCACTTCCAAATAAAGGGAAAATGAAAACAGGTTTAATAATAAGCAACATTTATACAGCACATTTCTCTACAAACATCTCGAAGTATCTGCGTTTTGGACTCATACATAAAGCATGGGACTAACTTGCTTTGGTAGATTAAAAGCATCAGCTCCCCCAAACCCATGTCCCTGAAACAATGATTCCATTTAAAGACCTTGGAAGCTGAGTCCTGAAAATAGATACACCCCAAGTACAAAACTAAGTGAGAGTTTTTAAAAGATATCTGTAATTATCCAGGTAGCTTTGTACGTTCACACAGTTATGGAGAAGTATAGTTCCATGCTAAAAACTATTTCTCAGGCGGATATAAATTGGCATAAAGTCATTAATGAGAATGCAGTTACATGCATTTACAATGCAGTAATTTACATGCAGTTACATTGCTCATTGAGAATCTGCCCCTAACAGTTTAAATAAGATTCATACTTTGTAAGGCTGACCATACCAACCACTTCAGAATGATATCCAGCCTATCATTTGATAAAAACAGGGATTAAAAAGTGGAAGGAATTCCTTGTCCATCCTGACTAGCCTAGAGAAGTCTTGGCTACTACAATTTACCTGGAGGGAGATTGGATTCTAAATAACCTACTTCAGCATTTATAAGGCTTTGTGTTCATTTTAATATGCCTGTATGAGAGAGAGATTAAAGATAATCATTTGGAATTCTGTCAAAGGCTCTTCTTATTTTATAACACAAGAACAATTGCATGTGATTTTCAAAGAAACACAGATCCCTCTATTTCAAGCAGTTTCATTTCCTTTGGAAGGAAACTGTCTATTTATAGGGAGAAAAAACATACTGAAAGTATCACTCTGACAATAGGGACCGTATATAAAATTAGACCACAGCCCAGTCCATGTTGAGATTAACCTCAAACGCTCAGGGGTCCCAGGAAAGACTGCTGAAATTTTAAAAGTTCCATTTATTCTGTTTTCTAAGGCAGGGGAGAAGGTGACTTTATTCACCTTTGAATCATTCCGCATTCCAAAAAAGAACTGCTCACTCATCTTTTGCAGATATATAGCTCGTCTTCAAGGACAGTGATTATAATTTGTGCACAAAAACAACTTCAACAAGAAAAAATTTTTAATCCTAAGTCCTAAACAAAGTTTATAAGGATTTAGTAAATCCTTGGCATTCAGTTCAATACGGTTTTTTTTAACATCTGCTATGTAAACATATGCAGAGGTATAAATGAATAATAATAATAATAACTTGAAGCCTAATGTAGAGGTATCATTCCCTAGAAGTGAAAAAGCACTACCATTTTCATCTGGTTCAAGCTAGGACCTTTCTATAAATCCTGTTGGGCAGATTATGACAACATTTAGATTTTTGCTTTGGATCATAATGGATTTTTCTCAAATTCCAAAATCAATTTAAAGGATGACTGGTCCAGATTTTTTTTTTTTTTTTAATGAGGAAAACTTTCACCACCTGCATCTATAAACACAACCATTCTGTCTCATATCCAGCAATTTTGCATAACTTTCCTTTCTACAATATCCTTCAAGATTCTCAAAATACTATTCACTCACCAATTCAAATCTCAAAAAAAGACATATAAAGCATTTAAGAACATATACCCTTTAAAACAAACAATGACACCAAGAAACCAATTCCCAAGATAATACTGCAAAATTACGGTAGAAGTGAAACGGAAAGTCTTAGCACTCCGTTCCTGCAGAAAGAGCATTATTTCACTGAGGATGCACTCTGATGATGGGAAAAAAGGTAAAGTTTGAAACTTACTTTACTGAACTTCTGATTTAGTCCTCTTACCAAGTTTCATCGCTTCTGAGATTAGCTGCACTAAGCAATCACTCTCAAGGACTGGCTCCTTAACGTGCAATTAGACATGTGGCGTCCAGTCACATAACAGGAAAGTGTTTGGGGGGAAAAAGAAAAAAGTTGGCCACCTGGATTCAGCAACCCTGTCTGCAAACCACAGCCAGTGGTTCCCACCATCCATTACACCTACACTCCCGCTCTTTCTTTTCTCTTGCCTTAGAAGCAACCCTTTTCACTTCGGAAAAACATACTCTCTTCTGCTGTTTCCTCTCTACTTGTACCCTACCTTCACTCCCCACATGCAGCTCACTGACCAACCCTTACCATTGCTGTCTGGACTTCTTCTCAATCACTTTCATCTCAATCTCCTTCCATACCCATGCACTCCAGAAAAAACATGCTTGTTCCCCCTTTCAAGCCAAGCTTTCAGCTCTGGCAGCTGCCTTCAATATTGTGCCCCATATATTGAAATGCTCTCCCAAATTCCATGACTCTTTCCTGCTCTGATTCCTCTGCTGCTGCTCCGGCCACCCTGGGCAGGCTTTGCTGATGACCTGCCTCTCCACCTTCCTGCTAACATTCCACAGGAATCCATCCTTCATAGCCCTTTTTTCAGCATCATATTCCTGAGCAACTTCACTACTTCCATGCTGATAATCTGCTGATCTACACAGTCAGACTTGAGTCTCCCAGTTTCCACTTTTCAGGTGCAAAATATTCAAATAGGCATATTTGCTCCTTTTCTCCTATGCTGTCTCTCATACTCGGGAAGCAAATACTATAAATACCTAGCAAAGATACTTCATGAACCTACCTCAAACTTCTTTTTAGTGGTATTGGCTAAAAACTTTGCAACAGTCAGAACACTGGGTATTAACGTTTATCAAGTTGACTGTCTCTCAACACTTTCTTGTTTAACTGTCTATTTCCATCTGTTTCCTCAGCCCAGTTTCTAAGAAAATAGAGGGTTTATGGATTATATAGAATGAGGAATGTATATGCACATGCATGTTTTCTTCTGTTCTGTGTTTGCACACTGCCTAGTACGGTTGGGTACTCGCCCAACAGTCAGGCTTCTGGGTACCTTCAAAACGTTAATAACATCAGTGAAAAAGTTTCAGAAAGAAGGTTTTACTTTATATGATTGCACATACAAGCTGTAAACTGCAAAGCCTGAAGTTTTTGAAAACCAATGACAGATGGAGCTCACATACTCAATTCTCAAATTTCTACCACAAAAGAATGAGTGTGCTGATATAATTCACTACTTCTGAATGCTGCATGTCAAAAATGCCACGCGTCAAAAATACCACACAATCCATTATTTTACTTATTTTTTTCTTGCCTTTTTTTTTTTTATTTTAATACAAGGCTATCCTTGTAGTCAAACCGTGGCACACAGGAACTAAAGCCAAGATGAGTTTTTTGCAGAGTATACTAAAAACTGTACGTAAAAATAATAAAGGCCTGAGCTATGATATTTCAAATTTCCTTACATTTTTGTGTCGAATTATTAACTTAAAATTCTAAAAATTAGGTTTAAAAAAAGTCAGTATAATTTCTGCTTATATAAATGTATGTAAATGAATATACATATAAACCATTCAGCTAGCAGATGTCCAAAAATGCTTGAGAATTCAGTTCTTGAAAATGTAAATAAATGAATCCAATGTATTTCTGTTTAAAAAGACACATTGTTAGAACTACTTCTGAAGTGTAAATTGTACAGGTAAGTCTACTATTATAATTATGGTAACTGCAAGCAAATTACCAGGCAGAAACCTCATAAGCCAAATCTAGAGTAACAAATGTGTATTTATTTGCAGCAATTTTGTGAGCAAATCCTGCATAAATATTTTTGCCAAATAACTCAAAAAAAAAAACCCTGAAATGTTTATTTACTACTTAAGCATAATTTTCAGGAAAGATAGGTCACTTTTTTTAAAACAAAAAAATTAAACTAAAGCGAACTTTTCTTCTATAGAGGGGTTAAATAGAATAATTTAGAAAAGGTTGAGTACATACTACTTGGACTTGTCCATCTTCTCCTATTTGGTGGATCTGAACCTGCTGAGCATTAGCTAGTGCATAGTGTAGTGCCTGTGGCTGGTTCTGCTGGATCTCATTAGAAGCTGAAACTGCGCTCTGTGAACCTTCTGAAAAAGAGACAAAAATTCAGCATTATATTTGCATATCTCATGCCAGTGGCCTGGCAACATGTACACTTAAAAACTGTGGAGAACAAATGCAGTCAGTATGCAGGTGCAAACCATTTACATAGTTCTTATGCTCGTTCATTGCTCATGTACAGGTTTGCTACAAGTTCTAATACAATTTATATTAAAAAAAAAAAAAAAAATCACACTCCACAACACATACACTCTTTTGATTCTAGATTAAGGATTCTGCAACTGTAAAGGTAATACTACAGCAAAAATGCTATACATAATTTCCTAAGCAGTTGAACATTTCCTTTTCTGCCCCTGCGTAGCTGAGAACTGTTACTGTCACCATCAAAACCACCAGGCTACATTTGCAAACCCCTCCTGTAAACTGAAGTCATCCTATCAATAAAGGTTAGCTCTCATAACTGCTTTTCAAGATGCATCTGTATAATTCAAACTGACACACGTAAGCACAGAATTTTTCTTTTTTAATCTCAGAATTTCATACATGGCACATGCACAAACTCCTACCTCATGTGCCATTAACATAAATGGACCATCAGGGCAGCATAAGAATTCTTGTAAAATCTGTAGGGATCCCATGGGAGAGGGACCGGGGCGGGGGGGGATGCAAAATAGACCACAAATCCTGAAAAACAGCCACATGTTTTTCATTTTTGAGAGCTTCAGTTTTTACATATACACACACTACCAACCAGCATGATAGATCCCAAAACATACTACTCCTGAACAACGCTTGCTTGGAAGATGCTCCTGGTGTCGCAGGTTTCTGCGACAGCAGGCTGGTGAAAGCATGAACAAAGTGCAAGAACCAGCCCTGTGGGAGGCAAGAACAGAAGCATCCTGTAAAAGGGACAATAATACTGTTTGGGCTCTGCTAGCGCAAAAGGCTCCCTCTAAGCTGTTTCACCAGGTGAAAGAGTGAAGTGGGACACAACGGGATAGGGAGATGGTTTGGATTGTTCCTCCTATAGATTAAGCCCCCTCTAGTCATACTTATGACTAGATAGATGTCTTATATCCTTTCAGGAGTCAGGAAAGAAAATTGAGGTCATAGATCATTTTTGCAGCCCATGTGACAAGTTCACGTACCCATTACTAGGAAAAACCTGAAAATGTCCCAATATCAGATTCAGCACCAGTCCTCATTTTCTTCCTTTTTCATTTGAGACAACTGGGATAACTGGAGTGTGCATAGTGACTGCGCTTTCAATCACAAAGGGCTTTTAGAACAATATATTTGAAGAAATCCTTTTAATATATAGTTCTTCTGGAATTAATTTTAACAGTTTTCTTTTGCTATGTCACAAAAATACATCAATGAAATCTTTAAAGTTACTGCACGATACCAAGTAATTTGCGCTTCCTCTGCTGTTGCACACTACAAGCTCTTCGTGCAGAATTCTGGTCAGGATTATCAAGCCACGATTGGGAGAACAGTCCTGTACTCGCTGCGAGAAATTCTGTGACCTCAGCCAAATAAGAACGCAATTTATTCAGACTTGTGATACCCAATCATGTTGTTCTTCACCTTGTTTCTTACTGGTTACCACAAGTCCATTCAGCTGTGACTTCGTTTCCCAGTCCCTTACTATATAATTCAAGAGTTGGTCAAGCTATGGTGACCAAATACATAATCCTTATTACATACACGTGGGAGCGTGCACAAACAGCAGAGCTGGACTTGGGACAGACATGAATAATGAGGTAAGAAGTTTGTTTCGCTAACAGCTTTAATAACCTTCTAACGGTACTCCTCCAGTAACTTAACCTTACCATTGCAAACCGCAATGCCGTACTTCTGAGGAAACACTCAGATGCATTTATAACGAGCATTTCTTTCCTGATTAGTAAAGTCATGCAGTAGAAGAATTTCAAAGAAATAAAAAGAGCTGCAGCAGATAAAAGTACACATTTACATACGTACTACGCACATATACATACTACACATTCGAGTGCTGAGGGAGCTGGCGGATGTTATCGCTCGGCCTCTCTCCATCATCTTTGAAAGGTCCTGGAGATCAGGAGAGGTGCCTGAGGACTGGAAGAAAGCCAATGTCACGCCAGTCTTCAAAAAGGGCAAGAAGGAGGAGCCAGGAAACTACAGGCCTGTCAGCCTCACCTCCATCCCGGGAAAGGTGATGGAACAGCTCATCCTGGAGGTCATCACTAAGCATCTGGAGGACAAGAAGGTGATCAGGAGTAGTCAGCATGGATTCACCAAAGGGAAATCATGCTTGACCAATCTGATAGCCTTCTATGACAGAATGACTGGCTGGGTAGATGAGGGCAGAGCAGTGGATGTTGTCTTTCTGGACTTCAGCAAGGCTTTTGACACTGTCTCCCATCACATCCTCCTAGGTAAGCTCAGGAAGTGTGGGTTGGATGAGTGGACGGTGAGGAGGATTGAGAACTGGCTGGATGGCCGAGCTCAGAGGGTTGTGGTAAATGGCGCAGAGTCAAGTTGGAGGCCTGTGGCTAGTGGTGTCCCCCAGGGCTC